GAGGGGAGGCAGCCACAGGAGCCTCCATCCCCTAGGGCTGGGTGAATAATTAAAGTCCCCCTAAGGGCTCATCCTGCAAGCAAGGGGGGAAAGAGACCTAGACTTTAATTTTGGAAAATTAGTCTTGGCCTCGGGACCTGAGCTGGGACTGCCAGTAATTAGTCTTGAGGCACAGGTGAAATCATACTGAGTAATAAATAGTTGCTAGCATTCCTCAAACTGACTACACGTTCACACGTGTGCCTGCCTGCATGGGGGCTGGAGCATTTATTCTTGCCTAAGGAGTGAGAATAAATGAGGCCTTTTTCCTTTCTCTTCACTCCCCTGCCGTTAAAACTTCCTAATATGTAGCAGAAGGCCCAACCTTTTCAGACATCATGAAGATTCATGTGAAAAATCATCTCTTGAGTGTGCTATTTATCCCTGGAAGTGTGAAATAATAGTTGTCTTAAAAAAATGAGTGGTACTCTCAAATGGTGGAGCTCTGTGTCTGTATTCAGTGTAGAACCTATGGCCACAGTTGAGGTGGGTATGTTTTTTTCCTCACGATAAAGAACCATGCTCCTTCTGGTGGAGGAATTGCCTGCTGGACCATCCACCAGCTAGACTAAAAGAAGACTAATCAATAACCAAATGTGTTAGGAAATATGGAAATGAGCCAGGTGGAGTGGTGCACACCTATAACCCTCCCCCCAGCCTCTTGGAAGGCTGAGGAAGGAGGATCCCAAGTTGTGTGTATGTGGTGTGCTGGGATTGGACCAGGGCTTGTGCATGCCAGGCAAGCTCTGAGCTATATCCCCAGCCCAGGATCACAAGTTTGAGGCCAGCCTCAGCAACTTAGTGAAACCCTGTCTCAAAAAATAAGAAAGGCACCAAGGATGGTGGTGCATGCCTGTCATCCCAGTGGGATGACAGTCATGTGCCACCACTCCTGGCTTTGTGTTTAATGTTTTGAGGAGTCAGAAAACCATTTTCTTCAGCTTTCCATCATTTCACATTGCCACAAAGTTTTGACTGCTCCAAATCCTCACCCCTGCTTAACTTTTTTTTTTTTCTTTTTTAATTTGATAGAGGCCACACTGATGGGTGTGAGCAGATATTTAATCAGGGTTTTGTTTTGCATTTCACTTGTGAAGGCTGACTTCAAACATGGTTGCATGGGTTTGTTGGCTACTTGGTCCTCTTTGGAGAAATGTCTATAAAGTCCTTTGCCGATTTTTAAAAATTTATTTATTTTTATATGGTGCTGAGGATCGAACCCAGTGCCTCACACATACTAGGCAAGAGCTGTACCACTGAGCCCCAGCCCCAGGTCCCCTTTGCCCATGTTTTCATTAGGACATTTGTTCTCTGTTGCTGTCAGTTCTAGGGATTCTATATATACAGTCATGCAAGTCCCCACCCCCCCAAAAAATACCAATCCATGGAGCCTCAAGTCCCTTGTACAAAGTAATGCAATAGTGTCATATAATCAATGCTTTAAATCATCTCCAAATTTTTACATTATCTCATGCAGTGTAAATCAATGCTGTGTAGATAACTATACCGTGCCATTTAGAGACAGGCACAGGGAAAACATCTGTACATGTTCACTCCAGACAGTTTCTTTTGCATTTTCTACTACAGTTAGTGGAACGTGCAGATGTGGAAGCTGTGGGAATGTGGGGGGGGGGGGTAGTGCTGACTATATTCCGGGTAGTAGCCCTTTGCCAGGTACCTGATTTACAAATGTCCATGCGACCCCTGAACTGACCTCTGCGGCTGCCAGTGGGTGGGGATGGAAGGTACGGCCTGTAGCCTGCCCAGGGTCCCCCTTACCATTTGATGATGTCATCTCCGGCTCCTGGGAGGGAGGGACCTCCCCTTTACCATTCTCTTGTGCCTGCCTCTGAATTGCCACCCCTCCCACCTGTCCTGTGGGGAGCCAGATTCCCAGCTCCTTAGCCTGGCCCAGGGGAGCCGTTCCCTGGGGTGGCCCTGCCAGCTCTGTCCCCTGTGCCAAGCTCCTGGCCTCTCAGCCCCAGTGTCCTGGCTCGGGCACTAGCCCTGGCAACTTCTCCCAGGCCACCATGGTCCAATCTCCATGGCTGCCTCTTCTGCTCAGTTGGGAACTTTTGCCAGGGTACCAGAGACTTGTCTTTCTCACAGTGTCCTTTTTTTTTGGGGGGGGGGGGGGGGGGGGGGGGGGGGGGGGGAATGTGAAGAGACAGACTGACAAGAAAGAAGGAAGAGGCCCAAGACAAAGACCAAGTAAGACAGAGGAGGGGGTGTGGGGGAGCAGAGAGAAGGGTCAGCTGTCCTCAGGGCTCCCCCCAGTGGACCGACCCCTTTGTCCAGCTTTGGGCCCCGGGATGTCCCTTTGGTTTCCAGACCCCCTGTTTCCTGGCTCCCTGGCATGGTATCCAGAGTTCCCAGATGAGTCATAGCACTTTCTCCTTTATGTCTTGATCTTTTTTCTTCCCATATTTTGCATAATAAAGGTTTTCTGTTCTTTTGCTTTGGGAGTCTGAAAACTATAAGAGACTATGTTTAATAAAGAACTGAATACAGATCTCAAAGGAAGTAGCTTGGTGAGGGGGTGGTGAGGAGGGGAGGTGGAGGGAAGGGTCCTTTCATTAGAAGGAGGCTCCCCCTGTCAGCAGAGTTGGGCCCTTGTAAATCTAGTTTTGAATTTAGGGCCTGGGAGACTTGTGAAAAGAAAAAACAACACCACCAACAACAAAAGGAGCCGAGGGAGGCCCCCAAACTTCTGGGAAAGAGGTCCTCGTTCCTGCCTTGTTGGAACCAATGTTCAAGGGTTGGTTTAAAGGAGATGCCACTTGGTAAGCAACGGCTGGCTTCCTGGCTCCGATCGGCTGGACAGCTGCCCCTCTTTTCTCAACCTGGCAGAAGTGTGTGCCTAGAACCCTCAGGACAGCATTGCTACCCTGCAGATTCTTTTTTAAGGTGGGGAGAGGAGGGTGGGTAGCAGAGATTGAACTCAGGGGCACTCGACCACTGAGCCCCATCCCCAGCCCTGTGTTGTATTTTATTTAGAGACAGAGTCTCACTGAGTTGCTCAGGGCCTCACTAAGTTGCTGAGGCTGGCTTTGACCCTGCGATCCTCCTGCCTTCAGAGCCACTGGGATGACAGGCAGCACTGCGCCTGGCAACCAAGCAGATTCTCATGCATCTCCTGTCCCAGTTTGAATCTGCGAGGCAGTGCCATGTTCACAACAGGCCCATGGCCCTGTCCCGCTTAGCATTAGTTACCTTTGTCCTGATTAATGACTGCTGGTCCCTTGGTTAGATTTGGGGTTTGTCAGAGGCCTCGAGGGTTAAAGATGAAAATAAGTCATAGTGGACAATGCCTTCCTATGTGGGCAGGACACCCTCAGAGCACTTTCCTTAATGTCTGCTATCCCTTTAGCATGGTTTTAAGTTGGGTTGCCCATATTCCAGAAATGACAGGTTTCGGCTGCATCATTTAGATGAGAAAACTGAGGAACAACACCATTAGAGCTGCAGGGGATTTGATTCCAGTGAGACCCAGCAGTGAGCTCCTCTCTCCCTTTGCAGAGTGCCAGGATTTTATTTTATTTTTTTAAATTTGTTCTAATTAGTTATCCATGATAGTACAATGCATTTTGAAACATCCAACATAAATGTAGTATAACTTCTTCTGGTTGTACATGATGTGGAATCACACCAGTCATGTAATTATGTAGCACACAGGGTAATAATGTCCCATTCTTGTTCTATCCTTCCTACCCCCAAAACACCCTCCCTTCCCTTTGCTCCCCTCTGCCTAATCGAAAGTACCTCTATTCTTCCCTACTCACCTGCCATTTTGAATTAGCACCTGCATATCAGAAAGAACATTCAGCCTTTGTTTGTTTTTTTTTGGAATTGGTGTGTTTCATTCACTTAGGATGATAGTCTCCATTTCCCCCCATTTACTAGCAAATGCCATCATTCCATTCTTCTTTAAGGCTGAGTAATATTCCATTGTGTATATATAACACATTATCTTTATCCATTCGTCTCTTGAAGGGAATCTAGGTTGGTTCCATAGCTGGGCTTTTGTGAATTGAGCTGCTATAAACATAGATGTGACTGTGTCTTTGTAGTATGCTGATTTTAAGTCCTTTGGGTATTATGCTGAGGAGTGGGGTAACTGGGTCAAATGCAGTCCCACCAGCAAAGTATGAGGATTACCATGATTTTATCTGTGTGTGTGTGTGTGTGTGTGTGTGTGTGTGTGTTGTGTGTGTGTTTAATCTCCTGTATGTCTCCATGCCTGGCACATGGGAGGTGTCAGTAGTGATTTGTGAAAGTGCGTAGTGATTTGTGAAGTTGGATTAAACTGACCCAGAGAGGGCTGAGGATGTGGCTCAGTGGTGGAGCACTTTCCTAGCATCCATGAGGCCCTGGGTTTAATCCCCAATACTGCATACAGCCATATGACTAAACCTGGGCTCATGCCTACAAGCCTTTTATCTCATGGCAGTGGACTGGGTCCTGAAGATTGCAGAAGGTTATTGGTTTGGAGCTGCCCAATCGCACTGGTACATCCTTTATGGTGAGTATATAGGTAGATGCAGGTCATGCCATGATTGTGTACTTAGAGATCACCCCTGTGTTCTTGCCCCATACTTTTGCAAACAGCTTGTCCCATATGAGAAAATCCAGCATACTCTCTGAAGCCAGCAGCTAATCATGGATGGGAAGAACAACAGGAAAACTCATTTTGAGTGTCACTAGAGGGTCATGTTATGAAAGAGCAAACAACTAGTAAAATAGGAAAGAGAATTCTTATACTTTTTTATATTTGATTTAGACACAGGGTCTCACTGAGTTGTTTAGGGCCTCAATAAGTTGCTGAGGCTGGCTTTGCACTCAAGGTCCTCTTGCCTCAGCCTCCTGAGCCACTGGGATTACAGGCGTCCACCACTATGCCTGGCTCTTGTAGTTACTCTGCAAAAAGAAATGCCCAAGTCACCTCCACTTGTGTGTTTCAGGCAACACAACAGGATCCGCAGCGTGAACGGGAGCCAGCTGAAGGCCTACCTTTCCTTGGAAGTGTTGGATCTGAGTTCGAATAATATCACGGAAATCCGGAGCGGCTGCTTTCCCCCTGGACTGTACATAAGAGGGCTGTAAGTACTTCTGTGGCTGGGGCTGTCCCTCTGCTTCTAGGTCAGCTGGAGGCCTCCGTTGCCCAGGTCTGTACACAGTCTGCATATTTCACTTCTGCTTTGGTCAGCTTTTTCACTACTGTGTGACTAAAAAAACCCAACCAGAAAATTGTAGAGGAGGAAAAGTTTATTTGGGGGCTGACAGTTTCAGACGTCTCCATCCATAGATAGCAGGCTCCATTCCTCAGGGCTCGAGGGGATGCAGGACATCATGGAGAAAGAATGTGGTGGAGGGAAACAGCTCACATGGTGATCAGGAAGCAGAGAGAGACTCCACTCTCCAGAGACAAATAGAGACCCCAAAGCCATGCCTCCATGCCCCCTCCTCCAGCCACACCCACCAGCCTCCAGCCACCACCCAGTTAATCCCATCAGGAATTCATTCACTGGTTGGGTTAAGGCTCTCACAACCCAGTCATTTCTCCTGGACCTTCTTGCACCATCTCACAGGTGAGTTTTTGGGGGATACCTCACATCCAAACCATAACAATTTTTCAGCCCTGGGGTTGGTGCAAGGCAGGAGGGATTGGCCTCTGATGCCCACTGATGGAACCTTTCCAGTCCCGTAGTATTCGTCTGTGTTACACCCAAGGTGGACACCTTGGGCAGGGAGAGGTGGACTCGCCTGTCCAGGAAGCTCACCCCTCAGACAGAAGAGTTCAAGACTCTGAGGTCTGCCCTGACCACAAAGCCTGCTTTTACTCCCATTTACTGGGCTGCTTCCCATCAGAGCTTGGAGAGAAGGCTCAGGGGAGCTTAGAGGCCCACACTGCAGAGAGAGTGCTTTGCAGACTCTCCAGGCTCTTTCTTCCTAGCGTCGCACAGTGATCAGACAGCTCACGGGATCTGTCTGGGAAGGCGGCTCCTGGTTCTGTGTGTTCTCAGGACTGTGCTGATGTGTCTCTTACCTGTGTTCGAGCCCCATCTTACCTGCGGTGTGGATGGTAGACAGGAGTAAAAATGATAAAACCTGCAGCACCCACGGCCTGTGGGTAGGAAAGTGTTGCTCTGGGGAAGAATCTGAAGAGACATTTCCAAATCTGAGTGAGTTTCCATTCCCTTTGTCATCACTGTTTTGGAGTCATTTTGGAGCTCATTTGTGAGTCCTGTTTAGAGGTAGTCATGACCCATCTCTTCAGGGAAGATGAACCTTGGCCCCTAGATTTTCCAAGTCATTCTCAGGCTGCATCAAGGTGCTGAAATCGGGAACAGGAGGCCTTGGCCTTTGTTAAGCCTCAAGTGGAGCCTGTCCCGAGGTGTCCAGCTGCTGCCCGACACTCCCTTGCTCAGAACCAAGAAATCACCACCGCTAAATGGAATTGCACTGACCTTCTGTCCCTGCAAGAAAGCAGGAGGGATTTTCTCTTTTGGCAGCTTGTGGCTGCTCTATCTTCATCCCAGAGGCTGTTCTCTAATCTGGAATGTCAAGAACAAACAGTCCAGCCCCATTTTTAGAGAATCCTCATGTGCCCTGTGCTGGGGGCTCTGCCTGGTAAAGAATCCAGAGGAGCCTTGTTCCTTCCCCCCAGGGTAGAAGAATCCCTGGGCTTTCTCCTTTTCACTTAGGTGCTGTTTTTTTGTTTGTTTGTTTGTTTGTTTTGTTTTGTTTAAAAAAAAAAAAAAAACACCAAAATTTTGTCTAGGAAAAGCAGTAAGAAGGGTGTTGAGGGGTAACTTCTCATAGGAATACTGATTTATTTTATACCCTTTATTTTTTCCCTTTTCTTTTCCACTGCTTGCTATGCTTTGCACACTGTGACACACATATCTGTGTTGTACACTGCAGTCCATCTGCTCGGTATGGTCAAAGGAGATGGCCCTGAAAAAGTATTGCTTGTCTTTTTTTGGCAGGGGCAGGGGTACCAGAGATTGAACCAGGGGCGCTTAACCACTGAGCCCCATCCCCAGCCCTATTTTGTATTTTATTTAGAGACAGGGTCTCACTGAGTTGCTTAGGACCTCGCTTTTGCTGAGGCTGGCTTTGAACTCTCGTTCCTCCTGCCTCAGCCTCCCGTGCTACTGTTATTACAGGCGTGGTATGGCTTTCTTTTTAAAGAACTTGGCTTAGGTCTCTTTAACTAGAGTGTTTCTTTCAGGTATTTAAAATCATTTTAAGGAATTGGCTTGTACACACTTATTATGTAAGTCCAAAAATGAGACCTACTTCAGGATTAAAGACATATTCCCCAAATCGTGGAATGGAATCTGACCTGGCCTCTGAGCTGACTTTGTGCTTTGTGTAGGGCTTTTCTCGGTTGGCCTAGGGTGGCAGGCCAGGTGTGGCCCGAGGTTGGCAGGTTTGCAGCAGGGCTGGGGGTGGAGGTGTCTGATGGTCATTCCTGCCTTCTTGGGCCCACTAGCCACAGGTGCTGTGTGCTCTGGGCTGAGTGGAGGTTGACCTTGGACAGTCTTGCCACCTGCAGTGGCAGGGCAGGCTCTGAAGCCTCGTGATGACAGACGTCTCCTCAGGAAACCTGTCCTTCTGGGTGTGTCTTAGCATGTTTTCCCAGCTCGGATCCTGCTAGGTCTGGTGTCTGTAACAGAACGAGGAAGGCCTCCTATGGCTGTGACATTTTCTCTCCTGACTCATTCCAGCAACCTGGCCAGCAATCACATTGGCACCCTGGAGTTGGGAGCATTTGATGGCCTGTCACGCTCACTGCTTTTTCTTCACCTGAGCAAAAACAGGATCACCCAGCTTCCTATAAAAGCATTCAAGTTACCCAGGCTGACACAACTGTGAGTACAGAAACCAGCACTTTAATTAAGGTTATAGCCCAATTTTATGGGGGCCAAACTTCCCCAAGGACCTAGTACCAAATGCAACACCTACTCCCTCACCCGCCCCAAGTAAAGTTCTGCATGAACCGTAATTAATGCCCCTATGGCAACACCTAGTAAAAGCAGATTGGAGCTGGGTCTGGTGCCGGTGGCCCACCTCATCTTGCAGGGATGAGATCCACTGAGTATGGGTCCGTGCTGGTGTCCTCCTTGATGACATGAGGAATCCTGCTGGTTAGCTAACGTGGCTAGTGCTTAGGCTGCATGCATTCTGTTTATTTATCTCAGAGATTTTAGTGTTGTTTTTAAAGGTACCCGTAAAATATGTACCTCAGGCTTGATGGTATCCTTGACATTTCTTGAATTTAGCAGGAAGTTAGCATGGCTAGAGGCGGTAAGCAGGAGATGGCAATCTTTATCTCCTAAATCTTACAAGGTGGTTGATTTATGATTGTCTCTTGCTTTTTTTTCTTTTTGGTACCGGGGATTGAACTCAGGGGCACTCGACCACTGAGCCACCTCCCCAGCCATATTTTGTATTTTATTTAGAGACAGAGTCTCATTGAGTTGCTTAGGGCCTCTCTGAGTTGCTGAGGCTGGCTCTGAACTCACAATCCTCCCACGCCACTGGGATTATAGCCCTGTGCCACCACGCCTGGCTCTTGATTGATTGATTGATTGATTGATTTTCGGCTTCTTTTTATTATTGGAAGAGTAAATATCAGGAAAACAAGCCAGTAGTGGAAATTTGGTTTAAATTGATGAGAACAGTTGTTGAGGCTCAGCAGGGTGTGGATCCTGGGCTGTCTGCGGAGAAGGTCTCCATGATGCTGAGGAGGTTGGGTCACGAGATGCTGCAGAAATACTTCGGGGAAACCAGGGCTTTCCCATTAGCTCCGTGTGTCCTTCCCTGCCCCTCCAGGCCACCCAGAGTCCTTTCGGTCCCCCAAGGCTCTCTAGTACTAGAGCCAGCAGATGAATGTGTGTGCTTCATGGGGTGTCCCCCACTGCTCTTGCTCACTCTGCCCCATACATGGAGATCCTGACAGATGCCCTGACTGCAAATGTTCTTGCATTTGATACCCGCTGGCTCACTGGCTGGGAAACTCGACATGGTGGGTGTGTGTGTGTGTGTGTGTGTGTGTGTGTGTGTATGGAATGTGCACAGGGAGGCTCTGAGCCTGTGGGCTTCTTCTCTTCAGGGACCTCGATCGGAATCAGATTCAGTTGATCCAGGGCCTCACGTTCCAGGGCCTGGACAGCTTGGAGGTGCTGAAGCTCCAGAGAAACAACATCAGCAAGCTGACTGATGGTGCTTTCTGGGGGTTGTCCAATATGCATGTGCTGTAAGTGTGGGCGGGCCCTGGCAGGGCTCCAGCCCAAGGGTGAGGCCGTGGCCTCTGCACCCTGCCTCTGTGGGGAGTGGGGCAGCCTGTGTGTATCCATTCAGCTGAGCACTAGGTGGAGAGCAGGCCACCTTTCCTTTTTCTTTCTTTTTTGTTTTTCTCTTTTGGTACCAGGGATTGTACTTGACCCCTGATCCCCATCCCCAGCCCTATTTTGTATTTTATTTAGAGACAGGGTCTCACTGAGTAGCTGAGCGCATCACTTTTGCTGAGGCTGGCTTTGAACTCATTATCCTCCTGCCTCAGCCTCCTGAGCTGCCTCGATGACAGCCCTGCTCCCCTTTCTGGCTGTGGACCGCTGTCTGCTGTGCCCTTTAGAGGGGCCGGGGGTCACTGATGCGTGCCTTGACCAGTTCTAGAAGCTTGCCGTGTTCTCAGGTCACCTCAGAGCCAGGCTGGGGGTTGCTTTCCTGCCCCTCCCCTAAGCCAAATTCCTTAATTGCAGGTGAGGATATAATTTTGGTCTCCTGCCAGGTCCTGTGACTGACAGACACCATGACTTATTTCTCCAGCAGGGAAAGAAGGCTGCCTGCTGCCCCCCTTAAAAACCCATTAATCTTCATTGATACTATTTTTCTTCTTCCTGACCCAGCCCAAACTTCCCATTTTTCAACCAGAGGTGACCCATATGCCAAGTGACCAGCGCCAGGGTTGTGTCAGAAATGCAAGGGTGTCTGGGAGGAGGTTTGGAGTCTCACATGCAAGCTAAATGGATGATTTGGGGCGTGTCCTGTCCTGCTCACAGGGAGGGTAGGTCACACTCAGGCCAGAGCCTCCAGCCTGAGGTTGAGGCCCTGCAGTGGTTGTCCCAGGCAGGGATGCATGGCGCCCTCTGCTGTCCAGTGCGTGGAGTGGCAGCATCTGATCCACAAGGGACCTATCCAGGGTGTCGGGCCTCTGCCAAGAAAGGTCTGAATCAGGACCAGCCTGGACACCAGCAGGGAGGTTTTGTATTGTGTGACCTTGTGCCATCCCCACAGTTTAACCACACCAGGACCTGCATGGCCATTCCCGTTGTTAGACCAGGTGGATGACCTAGCTGCACGTCCACTGTGAGATACTTCCTGCCCACGGAGATCCCACGGGCTGTTGTAAGCAACTCCATGAGGCCTGATAATGACCTCAGCCCCTCCACCTCCCCAGGATCCTGTCCTTCAACAACCTCACGGGGCTGGATGAGAAGAGCCTGGCCAAGCTGGGCAGTTTGAGCATCCTGCACCTCAGCCACAACTCCATCAGCCACATCGCTGAAGGCGCCTTCAAGGGACTCAAGAACCTGCGCATCTTGTACGGCATTCACTGTGGGGGTGACCGAGCGACGGGGTCCTGGGCAGGAGAGCAGAAGAGGGCAGAGCTGGCCCCCCGAAGGCCTCTCTGGGAGTTCTCTGAACTCCACTCCCAATGGCTTTGGGTGGGAATTGGACCCCAAGCTGATGTGTTATGTGTGCATAGCTGATGTTGAATGTCTTGTTCCCCTGGGATGGTGCCTGAGGGAATGACAACCCTAAAGTGTGGTGTCACCAAGCAGAAGCTGCACATTGTGCCTGTCAGGACACTGGGTCCTGCTGTTGAAGTGAGTATCCCCAGCCACTGCCACACTGTCCCTGCAATCATTTTTTTTTTTCTTTGTGTACCAGTGATGGAACTCAGGGGCACTTGACCACTGAGCCATGTCCCCAGCCCTATTTTGTATTTTATTTAGAGACAGGTCACCTAGGGGAAAGGAACGCTCCAGCAGCACCAGGAAGAGCCAGATTGAAGAACTATCAATGGCTGGGCTTGAGGGACTATCTGAGCTCAAAACCTGGAACAAGGAAGGGCAACGTCCACCCGGTGGTCACAGAGGGCTCTGCTGCTCTTTGTGGGAAAATACTTTCATTTAGGCCTGGCCAGTGGTGAGCTAGGAAGGATCTCAGGAGTAGCTCACCTCCCCATTCAGAGGCAGATCCAGCAAGACCAGCCTCTCAAGCTCTCCAAAGGCAGGCCCAGGCCACCTCGCAGGGACTCCGCATGGCTCCTCTGTGCTGGCATGCTCCACACTGCCCAGGGGAGCCCCGCAGACTGGGGCCAGCCCATCCAGATGGGGCAATGCAGTGTGGTGGCCACATCTTCCAGCACAGCCATGCCACAGAGCTCCTAGTGACACTGGGAGAAAACCAAGCAGAGGGGGATCCAAGGAGCATGGTTCCCTCCTTAAGTGGTCACTCAACACCAAGCACAGTGGTCAACCTAGAGCTGTGCACCAAGATCCGCTTTTCTCTTTCCCGTCTAATGCACAAACCTTAGCACACCATGACAGCAGACAAGACAAAACAGTATCGTGAACCCCAAGTGGCTACCACACACCCACATGTGTTTTCATTACCTTCTCTGTTTTTCCTCACTGAGAGACTACCCAGCCTGTCTCTTGTGATGCTATTGCCTGCCTCACCCCCAACCCCCTTCAGGGGCCCTTGGAGACAGAGGGCCAGGTGGGACAAGTGTGTGTCCAGTGGATTTTATTTGTTCGTATTAGTTATGTAGGACAGTAGAGTGTACTTTGACATATCATACATATGTCAGATCATCATGGAGTCTAACTTCCCATTCTTGTGGTTGGACATGATGTGGAGTTTCCCTGGTCATGTGTTCATATATGAACACAGGAAAGTTCTGTCCCATTCATTCCACTGTCTTTCCCATTCCCATGCGCTCCCTTCCCCTCATTTCCCTTTTTCTAATGCAATGGATTTCTATTATTCCCCCAACCACCCTTGTTTTGGGCTAGCATTCACAAATCAGAGTGAATACTTGACCTTTGTTTTTTGGGATGAACTCATTTCATTTAACACACTAGTCTCTGGTTCCATCTTTTTACCTGCAAATGCCATAATTTCATTCTTTAAGGCTGAGTAATATCCCATTGTGTATTTACACTGTATTTTCTTTATCCATTCATCTGTTGAAGGACACTTAGGTTGGTTCCATAGCTTAGCTATTGTGAATGGGGCTGCTGTAAACATTGATGTGACCGTGTCACTGTAGTATGCTGATTTTAAGTCCTTTGGATATAGACCAAGGAGTGGGATACCTGGATCAAATGATGGTTCCATTCCAAGTTTTCTGAGGAATCTCCAGACTGCTTTCCAGAGTGGTTGCACCAATTTGCAGTCCCACCAGGAATGCATGAGTGTGCCTTTTCCCCACATCCTCACCAACACTTATTGTTAGTTGTATTCTTAATGATCGCTGATCTGACCACAGTGAGATGGAGTCTGCAGGGGGCCTTTGTAGGCCGTAGAGTGCATGCACCTTCAGCCTGTAGTTGCTTCTGAATTCTAATAGAGGGAAAAGTGTTTCCTCTCAGAAGGGGCAGTACTGTGTGTGTCCGCCCTGGGATCTCAGTGCAGGTCAGCTTCCCCTGCCTCTCACTAGACAGGCTGACTGTGCATTCTTTCTCCCCCCTTTTCCCCCACCCTGTCTCTTTCTGGATGTTTGGAATCTGTAGGACTCTGTTTGGGAACAAGATCAAGTCCGTGGCTAAGAGAGCGTTCTCGGGGCTGGAAGGCCTGGAGCACCTGTGCGTATCTTGTCAGACCTTGCCTGACCCCCAGGCCTGCCAAGGGTGGCCATGGCAAAGTCAGCTAGGATTGAATGGCATCTTTGTAAACTGAGAAACAGGCTGTTTAGAAGCGGCAGCTGCTTCAATGCTGGCCCTTATCTTGCCTGTGCCAGGGCAATCACAGAACACATGGCCAGTTGGTGTGATCCCCATGAATGCAGCTGGTGTGCGGACAATACCTTCCTCCGCTGCCCTGTGTCGCTGCTGCCCCCGCTCCTCCCTGGGCCCTGGTCTCCTCGCCACCCCCACTAGGCCAGCCAGCAGAGTGACACATACCCCACCCCACTGGGAGCTTCTCTGGCTGGCCCTGGGAGTAAGGGGACCAGCCAGCCCTGAGACCTTCACATCCTTCTGGGGTAGCTCCCTCGAGTGGGTGGGCTTGAGTCTGTTTCCTCTTTGCACCAAGTTCAACCCCGGTTCTGCTGGGAGAGCCTGTGGCAGTTGACTTGCTGAGCAGGCCTGCACCTGCCTCTGCGCTGCCCCTCAGACAGGTTGGGTCCCCGTGTCACCGCACATGCTGTGTCAACACATGTGAGAGCCACCTCCTGTGGAGTTATCACCTCTGGTTCACCTGAAACCAAGGCTGTCACGGAAAACCTGAGTCTCCTGGCTCAGACACAGGGCTGGCTGGAAGGGCACCTGGGGTTTCTTGGCACAAGTCCTTGTGTTGTGTTTCAGGGACCTGGGAGAGAATGCCATCAGGGTCTGTGCAGCTGGACACCTTTATCACGATGAGGAATCTTAAGGAACTGTAAGTACTGAGGCTTCCTGGGGCCCTTGTGAATATGAGGAAGAACTTCCAGAGTAACAAACCCTTGTAATTGCTTTATGCTCACATTTTTAATAGCTATGATCGTTTATGGGTAGATGCAAGTTAAACTGTTTAAAAAAAAAAATACTATGGGGAAGCTGGCTTGGTGGTGCATGCCTATCATCCCAGCAACTCAGGAGGTTGAGGCGGGAGGATTGCAAGTTCAAAGCCAGCCTCAGCAACTTATTGAGGCTCTAAGCAAGTCAGTGAGACCCTGTCTCTAAATAAAAAAAATTAAAAGGGCTGGGGATGTGGCTCAGTGCTTAAGTGCTCTGGGTTCACTTTCAATCCCCAGTTACCCCCAGTCCCCAAAAAAGAAGTGGTGCTTACTTGGGATCAATAGGTAGAAAATACCTTTTTTTTTTTCCTTTGGAGGGGCGGGACTGAGGATGGAACTCAGGGGTGCACCACCACTGAGCCATATCACCAGCCCTTTTTGAGACAGGGTATTACTAAGGAAGAACTGAACCTTTTCAGAAGCTAGGGCAACTCCCGCCCCAAGCAGACAAATCAAGTTCTGGCCTCAAACTTGAGATCCTCCTGACTCAGCCTCCAGAGTTGCTGGTATCCCAGGTGTGCACCACACACCCAGCGACAATCTTTTTCCTTAAAGGGTGATGTCATGAATATTTTGGACCCTGGGCCACAGGGTCTGTGTAGAAACTCCTTGGCAAGGTTGTTAAAGCATAAAGCAGCCATAAATAGTACATAAGGGAACAGGTGTGGCTGTGTGCCATTGAATTTGTACTGCACAGCAGCAGCAGCCTGCAGGCTGTGGTGTGCTAACAGCTGTTTTATATAATGTCAAGTATATTCTTTTCTAAAAAGAGGGTGATCACCCCTTTAGTTACCCCAGGGACACGTTCTCCTCACTTGGGTTTGCTTAAAGGGAAAAGCCCGCATGGAGAAGGGCTTCTTGAAGGAGCCGGGTGGGTTCGAGTAGCAGGGGCACTGATGGATGCTCAGAGGTGGGGTGCCACGTGACTGACTGGGGCTAGAGGAGCTCCCCACTATCATGGCCCAGGCAGAGTGATGGCCTCGCCTCCTTTCCCATTGCCACACGCCACTGATTCTGTGGCCAGTAAGTTCCATCTGTAATGTCAGTCCCCTGCAGGTCTCACTGAGTGAGTGTTCTGAGATGTACCTACGAGATGCCAGATGCCAGAGGGTGGTCATCTTTGTGCCCTGACCTAATCCCATTCCTGAGGCCACTCCAGGTGGACTCTTGATTGGGGCAGGGAGGGTAGGAATGGGGAAAAGGCCCAATCCCCGTGGCTAAGAGCCCAAGAGGGCAGGCAACATTCCTCTGAGAAGAGGGGGTGCTCGAGCACTTGTCCCATGAAGAGCTTGTGCTGAGGAACTTAAGGGTGCTCTTGCCAATGAGGGTCAAGAACCTCCAAATGGGACCTCACAGCAGGCTCATTGGGGCCATGTGGCTTTGTGGAGAGCCACACAGGGAGGGAGCCTTCTGGGCTTCTTCCCTACTTCCAACCATGGCTACTCTTCTGTTGTCCATCTGGGTGAGACAGATTCTGAAGAACAGATTTCCCAAGTTCCTCTTCTTGACAAATTATTCTGCACTGGATGTAGGGCTGGATACTGAAAAAGCAAGTAGAGGGGAATGTTGGTTATAAAAAATCCCTGGGCTCAGGAGGCTGGGGCAGGAGGATCACGAGTTCAAAGCCAGCCTCAGCAACTTAGTGAGGCCATAAGCAACTCAGCGAGATCCTGTCTCTAAATAAAAAATAAAAAGGGCTAGGGATGAGGCTCAGTGGTTAAGCACCCCTGAGTTTAATCCCCAGTACCAGAAAAAAAAATCCAGATCTCCTGGGATGAGCATGATCTGTGCAGTTCGTAACAACTTTTCTCTCCATGAAACTTCCAAATGAGTCAGGAGTCCAAAAGATCTGATTAAATGGGAAAAGGGTATCTGGGGAGAAAGAAGGGAGAAAGGAGAAAGATTCTTCTTTTAGGTTCTTCGGAGACTGTTGACTAGTGGAGAAGAACTGAACCCTTTAGAAGCTTGGGCAACCCATCCCCACCCCCACCTCACAAAGAAAAAAAAAAACAAACCCACACTGTCTGGCTCTGGCACTGAGCCTTGGTCCCCACCTGGGTTCCCATCAGTCGCTGCATGGACCCAGCTGGGGCTGGCCTGGGCCCAGTCCTCTGGAGGGCCCAGAGGGTTAATTCCCATGTTTTCTTCCCAATGGCACAAGGCAGGTTGTGCTGTGCACTTTGTGGCCCTCTGGGTAAATTTCCACAAGGGATAATTAGAAACACACTTCGAGTTGGAGTCATGAAAATGCACACTCTTAGCCAGGGAAGTATTGGGGTGGCTGGAAAAGGGAGCAGGAGGCGGGGGCGTGTCTGTTGGCAGCTGCGGAGGCTGAGCTTTGCCCGAGTGCTGAAGACGGGCAGGAGTCAGCGGAGGCTGGGCAGCTCACAGTCCCCTCTTTCTAGTCAGCCTGGCCTTTGTCTCTAACTTAAGGGGTGGTGTGACCAGGCTGTCCTGGGCCCTGGCCCAGGCTCTGCCTGCAGGCTTTCCAACGCAGTGCCTTTGGGAACTGCAGGAGTGCCCCTGGAGGTTGAGCCTGAGGAGATTCTGATAGTGGGAGTTCCTGCTTGCTCTTCACCAGGAAGGTGAGGTCCTGGTGCAGTGAGGCAGTCACAGGAGCTGTGCCTGGGATACTCTCCTCCCTGCACAGGAGTGAGGTGGGCCATTTCTGTTCATCGGCTGCCCTCCCACCCCTAGAGTTACTCCTTAGCAGGACGCAGAAAGTCAGCTGCCTGATAAATACAATCCAAAGCCTCAGGCCTACTCTGTGGTCTGCCCTGGGCCTGGCCTCCCTATTATAATGGCTTTAAGATAAATCATTTCAGTTTTCAGAGAAGTACCTTCTGACCTTACCTCTGGGAATGATGAGGAAACGGGTTGTTCACTCTTCCTTGCTGATTGCTAGTTTGACACTTTCTTTGCTCATTGGAAGTCCTTGGGGGCTGAGACAGGAGGATTGTGAGTTCAAAGCCAGCCTCATCAACTTAGTGAGGCCCTAAGCAACTCAGTGAGACCCTGTCTCTAAATAAAATACAAACTAGGGCTTGGGGATGTTGCTCAGTGGTCGAGAGTCCCTGAGTTCAATCCCCAGTAACAAACTAACAAACAAATAAAACCACATTCAGAGTGAAAGAGAACAGAAAGCCGGTCCCCATGGTTGCTTTGTTGGTCTGAGGGATGCAGCAGCTGGAAAAACAGTCTGGCCTAATGGCCAGAACCACGTGTGTGGATTTCCTAGGCTTACTGTGCCCCTTTCTGTCACTGAGTGTCAGGGACATGACAGGGAAGCCACGTGTCTTTGTGTCTGCCCTTCTCATAGGTTGGCCACTGCTCTTCAGCTCAAGCCTGGGCTCTCCAAGGACCAGGGCAGCTAGACTCTCCAGGTGACTTATCTTGGTGTGTGACTCCTCAGGAAGGAATGTCCACTCCGATGGCCATTCTGATTTCTGTTTGAAAAGTTTATCCTCAGTTGCTGAGAAATGAAAAAGAAAATATTCTCTGTTTTGGTTGGAGGCTCACAAAACCCAAGTTGAACGTTCTCCTGCTCCCTGGGCAGGGTCAGTTAACTAATGAGCACTATTTAGGGAGTAGGACTGCATTCTCCCAACCTCCTGAGCGATGCTCCTGTAGAGAGAGGGGCAGGCAGGTGGGACGTGTGGCTGGGAGGCTGACATTCAGAAGTAAGAAAACATGCAGCTTTGCCAAGTATTGTGGTGCTCGCCTGCAATCCCAGCAGCTCAGGAGGCTGAGGCAGGAGGATCACGAGTTCAAAGCCAGCCTCAGCAACTTAGCGAGGCCCTGAGCAACTCAGCGAGACCCTGTCTTTAAATAAAAAAATAAAAAGGGCTGGGGATGTGCTCGGTGGTTAAGTGCCTCTGGGTTCAATCCTTGAACCCAGCTTGGCCAGTCAAAAAGTAGCAGCCATAAAAGAAAAAAGAAGACATATTAGAACTTGTTGCAGAGTTGAGATCAAAGTCCCAGGGCTGGGGACTGTGTTTGGAATTTATCAGGAAAGTGCTCTTGCCACTGTAAGGTGTATCCAAGGTCAGGAAAAGGTGAGAAGGTGTCCCCAAGGTAACAGAAGCAGAGTCTGAGAACAAGGGCCAAGTGCAGCCTCTGGACCAGGGGTCTCAGCTCCCCTCTGGAGCTCGGTAGGAGGGCAGAGTTGGGCTCCACCCTGACAGACTCCGTCAGAAGCTGCATTTGGTGCGAATCTCCAGGTAGCTTCTAGGTGCTGTTCCTCCAACAGAGAGGAACAAACTGTGGGGAAGGCATCTTCCAGTCAGCTCTGTGGGTGGCGATGAATGTCCTCAGCTGTTAAAGCTGCACTGTTCCGACTCAGTCCCAGCTCAGTGTCTTTTTCTTTCTTTCAGCCACATCAGCAGTGACAGCTTCCTGTGTGACTGCCAGCTCAAGTGGCTGCCTCCATGGCTTGAAAGCACAACACTGCAGGCCTTTGTAACAGCCACTTGTGCCCAACCAGAGTCACTGAAGGGCCAGAGCATTTTCTCAGTACCACCAGAGAGATTTGTGTGTGGTAAGACCTCGTTGGAGATTTTTTTTTTCCATGAAGGGCAAAGAGGCCAGGTGGGCCTCGTGCTTGTGGGAGTCATTGCTGTGATCCCAGGAAACCCCAGCCCACGGCTGCAGATCGGCCCCTGGATGCAGTTTACTTCCCGCTGAAACCACACATGGCATTTACCATGAGGTACATCCTGTGACGCTTGTAGTATGTGTGTTTAATCAGAGGGCAGCGTGCAGGGGCTCGGTGACACTCAGAATAATCAGTCACAGGAAGATGTTTCCAGTGTTTCAGGAGAGATCTGGTGCCCTGGTGTTGCTGGGAATTGATGCACCATATGATGTTTCACTGCAGGAAGGATGGGTTTGGGGAGAACATTCGCTCTAGTAAAAACAGTCCCTCCAGGTTCACCTGCACTCTGGCGGTTTCTCCAAACTCCTGAAATCTGCAGGGGTAGCTAGAGATGCCTCCTTCCTACTGGTTGTTAGAATGTCATCTTTTTTTTTTTTTTTTTACTAGGAGTGCTCAGGATCCAAGTTTGGTTGCAGAGAGTACAGAAAATGCTGAACAGCTGCAAACACACACACACACACACACACACACACACACACACACACACACACACAGGCTAGCCGAGACAGGAATGACACAGCCTCTCGGCCACGAACACAGAGGCAAAGATTGAGATGGATTTTGAGTTGTTCCTGGCGTTTGCTTGGAGCAGGAGAGAGGACAGAATAACACACCCATCAGGCCCTGCTGGGCAGTTGCACATCTCTCCTGCTGCCAGATCCTGGCTGGGACAGTCCTAACCGGAAGCCCACCTAGCAGTACAGGGGTTCTGCTAATCCACATCTGTGACATACTTTTGGCTCTGACAGTAGCCATTTCCCTGCTGGGAGTGAAAGAGGAATGTCCTCTGTCCACGCGTTCACACTTCACCCCCCTGGGACAAACCCCTGCTTAGTGTGGCCTGCTGGCCACCCTCCTGCCTGGTTCAGACCAGGGAGAAGTAAGTATGGAGAACACGATAGCAGACCTCCAGACTCTGCTGGTCCTTCTTAGGGGTCTTCTGCGGTGGGGTCCCAGGCTGTGCCCAGTTCCGGCTCCCTAGGCACGGAATGGCTGTGCGGTCCGTGGTTCCTTGCCCATTGCTCAGGCAGCCCTGGACCATTAATCTCTTTCCACAGCTCCCTGGAGCGAGGCTGTCTGCCACTTCCTCCCGCTCCTGCCACAAGGCAGCCTTTCCCTTGGACCATCCAGGGAGGACTTCCAGGGATGACTTCTGTGGCACCCTCTAACCTCAGGCACTGGCAGACTCTGGATTAGAGTGGTTGTTGATTTCACCTCTCTCAGGCCCACCCCCTTGATTCAGTTCAGGCTTCCCCCCACCCCCGCTCCATCAAAACCCCAACCATCTGGTGTTAATGGGAATCACGAAAACACTTGGCAGGAGATCAAAATTCCAGCTCTGTGCGCTCTCCCATGCCTTTTAAAAAAAAAAAAAAAATGAAAGCACGACCAGCTCACACCCTCTAAGATGGCAGGTAGAGCCAGGTAGGAGCCAGTGCTGGCAAATGAGGGGACACACCTGAAACCCCCTCGTCCCCCCACTGCTGGGGGACAGTACAAGATGGGCAGTTCCTTTGGAAGGCAGCCTTAGAAGTTCCTCATTTAAACAGTTACGATCAGTTCCTCTCCTGACACAAATGCACATCTCACGGAAACCTCTCCACATGTGTGTTCACAGCAGCGTTATTTATAATAGCTGAAAAATGTGCACCCAAGTGCCCACCAGTTGATGAATGAATAGAGGAAGGTGGCATAGCTAGACATTGGAGGATTATCAGGCCATAAAATGCCACCTGTCCTGTCCCTCCCACAGCCTGGATGAACTTTGAAAATGATAAGCTAAGGGAAAGTGGTCAGTGACAAAGGAACGCAGATTCTATGACCCAGTCACAGGGAAGTCCCAGGACAGGGAGATCTGTAGTAGGAAGTGCCCTAGGAGGTGCTCCAGCCTGGGGAGAGATGGAGGGAGAAGGTGAGTAGCTACAAAGTGCTTCTCCATGAGGTGACAAAGATATCTTAAAATTGACTGTGGTCATGACGACACCTACGCATGAATGCACCACAGGCCATTCAGTTGTGAGCTTGAAATGGGCGAGCTGAAGTGTATGTGAATTATTGCTCAGTAAAGCTGTGTGTGTGTGTATGTGTGTGTGTGTATTATAAATATAATTTTTACATGTCATAAAAATGTGTCTCTTTAAAACGTGAACTTTGGATTTAGAGTCTTCAAAATTTGTGTCATCGCTGATTTATAACATTTTTATCACTTCTGAAAGAAACCACAACCCCACGCCTTAGCAGGCATTCCCTCTTCTCCTGGCCCCCATCCATGGCGGTCACTAGTCCACGGGTGTGTGTGACTTGCTTGCTCTGGACAGTTAACATGAGTGCCAGTGGACGGCGTGTGGCCTAAGGAACTCTCCTTTTCTCACTTTGCCGGGTCTTCTCCCCCAGTGGGGGGATTGGATCTGGGGCCTGAGCTGCCCCCTCCCCTGAGCATAGTTTTGTTTTATTTTTAATATTTTTTCAGGTATAATTGGGCACAACACCTTTATTTTATTTGTTTATTTTTAATGTGGTGCTGAGGATCAAACCCAGCGCCTCACACGTGCTAGGTGAGTGCTCTACCCTGAGCCCCAGCCCTAGCCCCAGCCCCTGAGCATAGTTTTAAAGCATCAGTTCCTTTTCTGTGACTGAGTGACATCCTGCTGTATGGATATACGTTTTGTTTCATCCATGCATCAGATGGCCGATATTTGATGGTGCTTACATTGGGGATTTTATGATTAATGTTGGTGTGAACATTCATGCACTAGTTATGTGAATTCTCTTGGGATTGCACCTGGGAATGGAATCTTTGGGTCCTGTGGTAGCTCTAGGTGTGACCGAAGAACTGTCAAACTGTTTTTTCAAAGTGGCTTCAGGATTTTACACACCTGCTGGCAATGTATGGGATTCTGGTTTCTCCTCATGCTCACGGACACTTGCTATCTTTTTTATTTTAGATTTTGCTAGTGGGAACAAAGTAGAATCTCATGGTAGTCTTAACATTTCCAAAATGACTCATGATGTTGAACAATTTTCTAGATGCTTATTGGATCGTGCATAGCTTCTTTGGAAAAATAGCTACTCAAGTCATTTATTCATTTCTCTATTTTGTTATGAGTTATCAATTCTGAATATTAGCACATTCAGAATTCTATATTTGTTATGAGTTGTCAATTCTGAATATTAGAATATTCAGAATATTAGACCTCATCGGGTCTATGATTTGTAAATACCATTTCCTAGTCTGTGAATTGTGGTGGTGGTCTTTCAGTTTCTAGACAGTTGTGCAAAATTTTTTTTAGAAATAGTTTTAGGGCCAGGTGCAGTGGTGCATGCCTATAATTCCAGCAGCTTGGGAGGCTTAGTCAGGAGGATTGTGAGTTCAAAGCCACCCTCAGCTATTGCGAGGCACTAAACAAACAAACAAGAAAAGAATTCCATTTACAATAATTTTTTTGGGGGGCAGGTACCAGGGATTGAACCCAGGGGTGCTTAACCACTGAGCCACATCCCCAGCCCTATTTTGTATCTTATTTAGAGACAGGGTCTCACTGACTTGCTTAGTGCCTTGCCATTGCTGAGGCTGGCTTTAATCCTGCCTCAGCCTCCCAAGCTGCTGGGATTACAGGTGCACACCACTGAGCCCAGCTAATTGTGATATTAACTGTGGATTTTTCAAAGATGACCTTTATGAGGTTGAATAAGTTCCTTTCTTATCCCTAATTTTTTGAATATTTTTTATTATGAAAAGCTATTGGATTCTGTCTTGTGTATATTCTATGTGTGTGTGTTTCTGAGATGATTGTTTTATTTTATTGATAATGGTCTAGTACATTGATTTTTGAATGGTAAACCTTGCTTTCCTGGGATCAGCCTAACTTGATTATAGTATGTGATTCTTTTTAGGTGCTGTACATTTCAGTTTGCTGGGATTTTTGCTGAAGTTTTTGCATATATACTTATAAAAGTCATTGTTCTCTAGGTTGTTGTTGGTGTGTGTGTGTGATGTTTTTCTTAGGTGTTTGTTGTTAAGAGTAATAGTTGTATAAAATTAGTTGGAAGATATTCTCTTTACATCTACTTGTACAAAAAAAGAAAGAGGGAAAAAATGCTTTGGAAGTTTTGGATTGGTTCTCTCTCTAAATGTTTGGTAGAATTCACTTGAGTCTGAGCTTTTCTTTATAGGAATTTTTTAATTCTACATTTAAAAATTCTTAAATTCTAAAGTGTCTCCTTAGTGTTGAGCCAGAATTTGTTTCTTCTTGAGTCAGTTTTAGGAGATTGTCATTTCAGCCAGGTGGTCTGGTTAGCTGGGTACAGTTGTTAGAATGTTCCCTGTTTTCGTTTGGCTGGAAGAAGGTCAGTAGTGGGGTGCCCTTTTTTTGTACCTTCTGTTTTTCCTTCCTGCCTACTAGTTGAGCTAAAGGTTTTTTCAATTTTGTTGATATTTTCAAATAACCAATTTTTGCTTTGCAGTGATTTTCTCATTTTCCTGTCCCCGTTCTTTCATTTCTGTTCAAATCATGATTAATTTCTTTTTCCTGCTTGTGGTGGGTGTAGTTTATTCTTCTTTTTCTGGGTTAAAAAACTGGATTATTAGTCCTAAAGTTCTTTAATACAGGCATTTCCAACAATAAGTCCACGAGCACCATTTTAGGCGTAGCTTCCGAGACTTGAAAACTAAACACATCGTTTTCATTCAACTCAGAGCATCTTTCAGCGTCCCTGTGACTTCTTCTCTGCTATGCGGAAGTGCACTGCTTAATTTCCACAAATTGCTTTCCAAATACTCTCTTCACTGTGGATTTAAAAGTCATTCCATTGTCATCAAAAAAGATACTTTGTGTGATTTCCATCTTTTTAAACTTATTGGACCTATGTTTTGACCTAAAATATTGACTTATCTTAGAGATTGTTCTGTGTACATTTTAAAAGAATATTCTGATGTGGTTCGGTGGAGAGTTCCATGGGTGTATATTAGAACTAGTTGGTTTATACTGTTGTTCAAGTCTTCTTTCTCCTTGTCCATCTGCCTAGTTTTTCTGCCTAGCTTTTCATTGGAAATAAGAGTATTATTGTTACATTGTCTGTCCTTCTCTTCAGTTCTGACAGGTTGTGCTCTACATTTTGTAAAGCTCTGTTAGGCGCATATATTTATAATTTTTATGTCTTCCTGATGGATTGACCCATTTGCATGATAAAATATTTTGTCTCATATTTGGTGATTGTTTAATTGTCTTGGGATCTAAACTGCCTCTTGTAGGTAGTGTATACTGGGTCATTGTTTTTTTATCCATTATGGTTCTCCTTGCCTTTTGATCAGAGTATTTAATTCATTTAGTGTTTTGTTTTGCTGGGGGGGGGGTTACTAGGGATTGAACTCAGGGGCACTTAACCACTGAGCCACATCCCCAGCCTTAATTTGTATTTTATTTAGAGACAGGGTCTCACTGAGTTGCTTAGGGCTTCACTTTTGCTGAGGCTGGCTTTGAACTAATGATCCTCCTGCCTCAGCCTCCTGAGCCGCTGGGATTACAGCGGTGCACCACTTGCTTAGTGCCTTGCCATTGCTGAGGCTGGCTTTAAACCACCACAAATATTTCCTGTAGAACGTGTCTGGTAGCAGTAAATTCTCTCAGTTTGGATATTTTTTTTAAAATCTGGGAATGTTTTAATTTCATCTTTATTTTTGAAAGATAATTTTGCTGTACCTGAGATTTCCAGACTTTTTAAATACTTTGAGTATTTCTCCCTCTTGACCTTCCTGGTTTTGAATAAGAAATCAGCTACAAATATTTTTTGAGCATCCCCTGTACGTGATAAGTTGTTTTTCTTGTGCTGTTTTGAAGATGCTTTGTCTTTGGCATTTGACACTTGACTATGATGAACCTAGGCCTTTTGAATGAATTTTCCTTAGAGTTAATTAAATTTTTCAGATATGTGGGTGCATGTTTTCCATCCCATTTATAAGTTTGGATGCATCAGGGCTTCAAACATACTCTCCCTCCTCCTTGTGTCCTGTGTTTGGACTTGCATGATCTGTGTGTTGTCATGCTGGATGCTCTTGCACAGATCTCTGAATTTCTGTGTATTTTCTTCATTCTCTTTGATTCTCAGACTAGATATCTCTGTTGACCTGTCTCAAGTTCACTGACTCATCTGCAAGCTCAGTTCTGCTACTGAGCCCTCTAGGGTGGAATTTTTTTTTAATATTTTTAGTTGTAGATGGACACAATACGTTTATTTTACTTAGGTTTTTTTTTTTTATGTAGTCCTGGATTTGAATCCAGGGCCTCACCCATCCTAGGCAAGTGCTCTATCAGGGAGCTACAGCCCTAGCCCTAGGGTGGATTTTGTTTTGTTTTGGTTTGTTTCTGGGGATTGAACCCAGGGCCTTGTGCATGCAAGGCAAGCACTCTTCCAATGGAGCTATATCCGCCCTAGGGTATAATTTCAGTTACTATACTTTTTAATTTCAGTTACTATACTTGTAAATGCCATGGTTTGTATGTGGTTCATTTTCATAGTTTCTGTTCATTAATCATTTCTCTTGGGTAAGAAAGTGTTCTCATGCTTTAATTCTCTTAGACAAAATTTTAGTTTTTCAAGTATTTTTATAATAGCTGATGTTGTTTAATAAGTCCAAGATCTCAATTTCCTCAGGAACAGTTTGTATTGATTTTTTTTTTCCTGTTTCACAATTGGTTGTTGAAAATTGGACATTTAAGATAAAATAATATGCTGGGTGTGGTAGCACAGGCTCCATCCTAGCTGCTCAGGAGGCCGATGCAGGAGGATCTCGAGTTCAAAGCCAGCCTCAGCAACTTAGCGGAGGTCCTCAGCAACTCAGTGACACCTTGTCTCTAAATAAGTTACAAAATAGGGCTGGGGATGGGGCTCCGTGGTCAAGTGACTGTGGGTTCCATCCCCAGTACCAAAAAAGTAAAATGACATGGCAAGTCCAGAGTCAGATCTTCCTGTCCTCCTCCAGGGCTTGCTGACCCGTCACCGTTCCTTTAGGACCTCTCCTAGATGAGTGTTGTGGAGCCTGCTCTGTACAACCCCTTGAGTTCCTGCTTGGCTTGCTAGTGTGTAGCCAATAGTTGGACACAGAAGTCCTTAAGTCACCCCCATCAGCAAATCCTGTGTCCTTCACCGAGGCCGTGTATGTATGTGCTGGCATGTGCTCTCACTTCCTTCTTGTGCGTGTCTGCCATCTCAGCCCAGGCAAGAAACGAGGGCTCCCCCAAGGTCTTTCCAGGGTGTGTGTCCACCCTACACGTGGGTGTGCCCTTCCTGATTCCCAGGACTCTGGTGGACCTCATAGGGCCTGCTGCTGGCATCTCCTCTGCCTGACTTTCCTTCAGTTTCTTGACCACTGTCCTGTTCACACCGACAGGCACAGTCACCTTGAACAGTGGCATGGTTACATAGTGGCCACTATTTTCATCAGATGCCTGGGGACAGGGCTTCCTGTGGTGAGCCTTCTTCATGAGTGGGGATTTCCAGGTCTTGGCCTGACAGGTCACACAGTGACACTGCTTTGATGGGGTTTTGGGGGGAGCTCCGCCTGCCCCCTCAATGGTTGCTAGCTTCTGAGTCTCAAGGCTGTCACAGAGTGGAATGGAGGCAGGTGGGACTTGGGTAACTCACAACACCAGAGAGCTCCTATCTCTTTCTAAGAGGCCTCCATTTTCTTGAGTCCCCACCCTGTGGATCATTGTGTTTCATTTTCCAGAAATCGAAACCATTGATTTTGACCATTTTTGCAGTACTTTCATCATTTTAAGGGAGTTCAGATTTCTGGGAGTCCCAACATTCTGGAAGCCACTGTGCCAGAGTCCTTCGTGTGGCCATGACAAGTGGCACCTCTTGTGTGGCTGTGTCAACAGGTGCAATGGGTGTGGGTCTCCAGGAAGCTTCCGGAGGGCTGGGTGACCGAGCGCTGGTGGCCCATTTCTAGTCCAGGGTTGTGCTCACGGCCTCACCTGGGTGGGGCCTGGTGTCCCTGGCCTGGTTTTGTGCGAGTGTGACAGCAGCTGGTCCCTGTCTCCTCACAGTGGCCCTTCTCTCCCCAGATGGCTTCCCAAAGCCACAGATCATCACCCAGCCGGAGACAACAACAGCCGTGGTGGGCAAGGACATCCGGTTCACGTGCTCAGCAGCCAGCAGCAGCAGCTCCCCCATGACTTTTGTCTGGAAGAAGGACAATGAGGTTCTGGCCAACGCCAACATGGAGAACTTCTCCCAAGTGCGCAAGCAGGACGGGGAAGTAATGGAGTATACCACCATCCTGCACCTCCACAGGGTCACCTTTGGCCATGAGGGCCGCTACCAGTGTGTCATCACCAACCATTTTGGCTCCACCTACTCTAACAAGGCCCAGCTCATGGTGAATGGTAGGTGCCCCTGTTGGTCTCTCCCAGGCACCCCACCCCGATGGCTGCCCACCTCGGAGAGGACGGAGGCAGACCTGCGATCAGACCACACTGTCCCCTGGGCTTGCCCAAGGCAGGTTCTGCAGGTTAAAACACCCTCTCCCTGGGCTTTGGGTGACTGTTGGGAAGCGGGGTGAGCGGCAAAGCTGAGCCTTCAACTTCTCTGGAGCTACGCAGTCTAGTTTCTAGGTCCCACATCCCAGACCCTGGGGAAGCTGTGCCCTTGAGTGGGTGGCACAGCTGTGGAAGCACAGGCCAGCCTGGGCAGGGGCAGGTCCCCACCTCTCAAGACAGCAGAGAGCAGGGCAGATGTGGGGGAGGGTGAGACGAGGTCCTGTACTCAGAAACCAGCTTGTCAGAGCTGCTCTTTTAAGGGCTGCTATTTTTGGAGGGGGACAGGAGGAGTGTGAGTGGGCACCTCCCCACACCCTGAGAACCCAGGGAGATTTTTCTGATCATTAAAGTGCCAGTGACAGAGTTGGCTCGCATGTCATCAGAAGTGCCGGCGGGCTGCACTCAGTCACCTCCGCAGACCACAGAACAAACTTGACCACACTCAGGTTGTCTTGGCGTATTCTAAGAGGCCTCACTGCCACCTCAAGACTCAGGCAATTAAGTGACTCTCTGCCAGGGCATTTGTTATTTACACCAGGTAAATGAGGTCCCGGGGTGCTTACCCACATCCCAGCCCTTTCCTATATTTTATTTAGAGACAGTCTCACTGAGTTGCTTAGGGCCTCGCTAAGTTGCTGAGGCTGGCTTTGAACACGATCCTCCTGCCTCAGGCTCCTGAGCCATTGGGATAACAGGCGAGTGCCATGGTGCCTGGCTGACCAGAGCAGCTTGGACAGGAAGCATGGTGATGCCTGCTGTGCAGCTGGACACTGACTCTGGCGTCCCACTGCTTGCTGAGCCTGAGCCAGTGAGCCCAGTGCTTCTGCCTATGTGTGCTCAGCAGCGTGGCCCTCAGGCTGCCCTGGGGGGGGCATGGACCTTCCCTCTGTGATTGCAGCTTGGTGAGCAGGTATTTCTGCTTCCCAGGCTCTGTTCTGGTGCCTTGTGAAGGCAGGCGAGCCTCAGGCCCCGACTCCCAGGGTCCCACCTTTGTGACCCATTACCTATGAGGTGCAGTAGGCAGAATGTCAGCCATAGCCTGAGACTTCATCCCCAGCTGGAGTGGACAGGTAGAGGAAGTGCCAGGCCGTGGTGGGGAGAGGCTGGCACTTTCTCTGGGAAGCTTACTGCTCCTGATTGAGGTGGCTGCAGCAGTCCTGGGCTGGTGGTGGCACAAGGCGTGGAGGTATGGAGCTGTGGCCCTCGCACACTGGGGGGTCTCTGCCCCAGAGGTGTTCTCTGCATTTGCAGCCAGCTGTCCCCTGACCTCCCCCTTTGTGTGTGTTTTCCAGTGCTGCCATCATTTACCAAAATGCCAAGAGACATCACCATCAGGACAGGCACCATGGCTCCCCTTGAGTGTGCGGCCACCGGCCACCCCAACCCCCGGATTGCCTGGCAGAAGGACGGAGGCACATACTTCCCTGTGGCTCGGGAGCACTGCATGCATGTCATGCCAGGCCAGATGACGATGACATGTTTTTCATCACTAATGCGAAAATAGATGACATGGGCATTTACAGTTGCACCGCCCAGAACTCGGCAGGCTCTGTGTCAGCGAATGCCACCCTGAATGTCTTAGGTTCGACCCTTGGTGTACTCTGGGGGGTGTGTGTGTGCATTCATGTGTAGGGGTCTGAAATGATACTGAGGGGAAGGCCTGCGGAGTTGCTCTGTGGACCCTGGGGGTTACGGGAAGGTGTTGCTACTGTTTGAAATTTGGGGCTGCTTTTAGGATTTTTTCCTCTTTTTTTAAAAAAAATTGTTTTGGGTCCTGGGGATTGAACCCAGGGGCACTCAACCACTGAGCCCCATCCCCAGCCCTATTTTGTATTTAGAGACAGGGTCTCGCTGAGTTGCTTAGGGCCTTGCTAAATTGCTGAGGCTGGTTTTGAACTTGCAATCCTCCTGCCCCAGCCTCCTGAGCTGCTGGGATTACAGGCATGCCCCACCACCCTGACTCCTATATCTTTAAAAAGACTAAAGGCCAGTGCAGTGCCAGAGCCTTGAGCAACTGGTGACCAAAGAGCATGCAGGAGGGGTGTGGTCTTAGTCAAGAACAAGGACACAGGACAGTTTGGGAACAGGAACTTTTATTACCAGAGATCAGCCATCTTCTGAAAAGCTTGCCACTCTGACAGAAGCCCTCAGGTGGGATTGTGCCATGTTTAGAGAACCAAGCAGACCCACAGCACTGAGGCCCCAGAGTGAGCGTGCCGTCTCTTGATCTCTTGCAGAGACCCCGTCCTTGGTGTTACCCTTGGAAGACCTCGTGGTGTCTGTGGGGGAGACGGTGGCCCTCCAGTGCAAAGCGACCGGCAGCCCCTCCCCCCCACATCACCTGGCTCAAGGGGAACCGCCCCCTGAGCCTCACCTATAGGCACCACTTCACCCCCGGCAACCAGCTGCTGGTGGTCCAGAACGTGGTGGTGGAGGACGCGGGCCAGTACACCTGCGAGATGTCCAACACGCTGGACAGGGAGCACGCTCACAGCCAGCTGAGCATCTTGCCCACACCTGGCTGCAGGAAGGACGGGACCACCATGGGCATCTTCACCATCGCCGTGGTGTGCAGCATCGTTCTGAAGTCGCTGGTGTGGGTGTGCATCATCTACCAAACCAGAAAGAAGAGCAAGGAGTACAGCGTCACCAACACAGGTGGGCACGGTGGCCGTTCATTTCCAAGGCAGGAGAAGCCAGGTCCACACTCTTTGTCAAGAGTTCTCATGCTCTGGGAACTCCAGGACCTCTGGGAATGTGGTTCTGGAGAACTGAAGCCTTGGTCCTGAGGACACTGGGTTCATACTCAGGGCAGAGCCTGGGGCTCAGTAGTAGCGCATTTGCCTAGCATGAGTGAGGCACTGGGGTCCATCCTCAGCACAGCATATAAATAGATAAACTAAAGGTCTATTGACAACTAAAAAAAAAAAAAAAAAAAAGAACTTCCTGCTGATGTCCTCCTCTTAAGCGGAGGTCGATTGTCCCTGAAATGTCACAGTGCTGTGATTTTGTTAGTTCTGTCTCACTTCCTGTCACTCTTCCCCGTCTTTTGTGGTCTCAAATGCCTTTTTTTATTGTTAGTTGTTCAAAACATTACATAGTTCTTGATATTTCACACTTTGATTCAAGTGGGTTATGAACTCCCATTTTTACCCCGTGTACAGATTGCAGAATCACATCAGTTACACATCCATTGATTTACATATTGCCATACTAGTGTCTGTTGTATTCTGCTGCCTTTCCTATCCTCTACTATCCCCCCTCCCCTTCCCTCCCCTCCCCTCTTCTCTCTCTACCCCCTCTACTGTCATTCATTTCTCCCCCTTGTATTATTTTTCCCTTTCCCCTCACTTCCTCTTGTATGTAATTTTGTATAACCCTGAGGGTCTCCTTCCATTTCCATGCAATTTCCCTTCTCTCTCCCTTTCCCTCCCACCTCTCATCCCTGTTTAATGTTAATCTTCTTCTCATGCTCTTCATCCCTACTCTGTTCTTAGTTACTCTCCTTATATCAAAGAAGACATTTGGCATTTGTTTTTTAGGGATTGGCTAGCTTCACTTAGCATAATCTGCTCTAATGCCATCCATTTCCCTGCAAATTCTATGATTTTGACATTTTTTAATGCAGAGTAATACTCCATTGTGTATAAATGCCACATTTTTTTTATCCATTTGTCTATTGAAGGGCATCTAGGTTGGTTCCACAGTCTTGCTATTGTGAATTGTGCTGCTATGCACATTGATGTAGCAGTGTCCCTGTAGCATGCTCTTTTTAGGTCTTTAGGGAATAGACCGAGAAGGGGAATAGCTGGGTCAAATGGTGGTTCCATTCCCAGCTTTCCAAGAAATCTCCATACTGCTTTCCAAATTGGCCGCACCAATTTGCAGTCCCACCAGCATTGTACAAGTGTACCCTTTTCCCCACATCCTCGCCAGCATTTGTTGTTGTTTGACTTCATAATGGCTGCCAATCTTACTGGAGTGAGATGGTATTTTAGGGTGGTTTTGATTTGCATTTCTCTGACTGCTAGAGATGGTGAGCATTTTTTCATGTACTTGTTGATTGATTGTATGTCCTCCTCTGAGAAGTGTCTGTTCAGCTCCTTGGCCCATTTGTTGATTGGGTTATTTGTTATCTTATTGTCTAATTTTTTTAGTTCTTTGTATACTCTGGATATTAGGGCTCTATCTGAAGTGTGAGGAGTAAAGATTTGTTCCCAGGGTGTAGGCTCCCTATTTACCTCTCTTATTGTTTCTTTTGCTGAGAAAAAACTTTTTAGTTTGAGTAAGTCCCATTTGTTGATTCTAGTTATTAACTCTTGTGCTATGGGTGTCCTATTAAGGAATTTGGAGCCCGACCCTACAGTATGTAGATTGTAGCCAACTTTTTCTTCAATCAGATGCTGTGTCTCTGATTTGATATCAAGCTCCTTGATCCATTTTGAGTTAACTTTTGTGCATGGCGAGAGAAAGGGATTCAGTTTCATTTTGTTGCATATGGATTTCCAGTTTTCCCGGCACCATTTGTTGAAGATGTTATCCTTCCTCCATTGCATGCTTTTAGCCCCTTTATCAAATATAAGATAGTTGTAGTTTTGTGGATTGGTTTCTGTGTCCTCTCTTCTGTACCATTGGTCTACCCACCTGTTTTGGTACCAGTACCATGCTTTTTTTGTTAATATTGCTCTGTAGTATAGTTTGAAGTCTGGTATCGCTATACCGCCTGATTCACACTTCCTGCTTAGCATTGTTTTTGCTATTCTGGGTCTTTTATTTTTCCATATGAATTTCATGATTGCTTTCTCTATTTCTACAAGAAATGCCGTTGGGATTTTGATTGGCATTGCATTAAACCTATAGAGAACTTTTGGTAATATCGCCATTTTGATGATGTTAGTTCTGCCTATCCATGAACAGGGTATATTTTTCCATCTTCTAAGATCTTCTTCTATTTCTCTCTTCAGGGTTCTGTAGTTTTCATTGTATAAGTCTTTCACCTCTTTTGTTAGGTTGATTCCCAAGTATATATATATATATATATTTTTTTTTTTGAGGATATTGTGAATGGGGTGGTTGTCCTCATTTCCATTTCAGAGGATTTGTCACTGATATACAGGAATGCCTTTGATTTATGCGTGTTGATTTTATATCCTGCCACTTTGCTGAATTCATTTATTAGCTCTAATAGTTTCTTTGTAGACCCTTTTGGGTCTGCTAGGTATAGAATCATGTTATCTGCAAATAGTGATAATTTAAGTTCTTCTTTTCCTATTTTTATGCCTTTAATTTCTTTCGTCTGTCTAATTGCTCTGGCCAGTGTTTCGAGAACTATGTTGAACAGAAGTGGTGAGAGAGGGCATCCCTGTCTTGTTCCAGATTTTAGAGGGAATGCCTTCAATTTTTCTCCATTCAGAATGATGCTAGCCTGAGGCTTAGCATAGATTGCTTTTACAATATTGAGGTATGTTCCTGTTATCCCTAGTTTTTCTAGAGTTTTGAACATAAAGGGATGCTGTACTTTGTCGAATGCTTTTTCCGCATCTATCGAGATGATCATATGGTTCTTATTTTTAAGTCCATTGATGTGGTGAATAACATTTATTGATTTCCTTATATTGAACCAGCCTTGCATCCCAGGGATGAATCCTACTTGATCATGGTGCACAATTTTTTTGATGTGCCTTTGTATCCGAGTGGCCAGAATTTTATTGAGGATTTTTGCATCTAGGTTCATTAGAGATATTGGTCTGTAGTTTTCTTTCTTTGAAGTGTCTTTGTCTGGTTTAGGTATCAGGGTGATGTTGGCCTCGTAGAATGAATTTGGAAGTTCTCCCTCTTTTTCTATTTCCCGAAGTAGCTTGAAAAGTATTGGTATTAGTTCCTCTTTAAAGGTTTTGTAAAACTCTGCTGTATACCCATCCGGTCCTGGGCTTTTCTTAATTGTTAGTCTTTTGATGGTTTCTTCTATTTCCTCAATTGATATTGGTCTGTTTAGGTTGTCTATATCCTCCTGACTCAATCTGGGCAGATCATATGACTTAAGAAATTTATCGATGCCTTCACTATCTTCTATTTTATTGGAGTATAAGGATTCAAAATAATTTCTGATTATGTTCTGTATTTCTGAAGTGTCTGTTGTGATATTGCTTTTTTCATCCCGTATGTTAGTAATTTGAGTTCTCTCTCCTCTTCGTTAGCATGGCTAAGGGTCTGTTGATTTTATTTATTTTTTCAAAGAACCAACTTTTAGTTTTGTCAATTTTTTTCAATTGTTTCTTTTGTTTCGATTTCATTAATTTCAGCTCTGATTTTAATTATTTCTTGCCTTCTACTTCTTTTGCTGTTGTTTTGCTCTTCTTTTTCTATGATTTTGAGATGAAGTATGAGATCATTTATTTGTTGTTTTTTTTTTCTTT